AACTTTCGATCCTCGCTGTCTTTCGATCCAACCAACAAAGAAAGGTAATTTTTTAATTATTATTGTTATTAATTATTATTATTATTACTATTATTTCTATATATATACATACATACATACATAAAAAAGAGAAGAAAATAAAAAAAGAGAAAAATGTGAGATAAAATGGTAGAGAAGAAAATAAAAAAAGAGAAAAATGTGAGAAAAAATGGTAACAGAAAATAAAAAATAAAAAGAGAAAAAGGGAAATTTTCATATTTTCGTCATCCTCGATCGTCGACCCGATAGCGAAGGTATAACCCAAACCCTGTCCTCAACACTTGCAGTGCGGCAAGCAACCACCAATGTGTGCTCGCAGCAAGGCAGGTAAATTTCTTTTAATTATTATTGTTATTAAAATTTCTGGATGCCAGACAACCTTTAGAGGCTATGTTCACATCTACACAGTGGTTGAGTTGTGCTTGGGCGAAGAAGGCTGAGGGAAAAGAGATTAGAAAGATTGTTTTAAATGACAGATTTTGGCAAAGTGTCTTATATGCCATTACAACCACTAGACCTTTGGTTCATGTTTTAAGGATGGTGGATGCTGAGAAGAAGCCTGCAATGGGTTTCATCTACAATGCTATGGATGAAGCCAAAGAGATGATTGCCTCCAACTTAGGAGGCAGTGAGGGAAGCTTTAGGGAAATTTGGAATATTATTGATGATAGGTGGGAACTACAGCTTCACCGACACTTGCATGCCGCTGGCTACTACCTAAACCCTCAGTATCAATATGCAGAGAACAAGTCTACAAACCCTGAAATAAAGTTGGGATTATATCATTGCATGGATCGTCTAATAAGTGATGCAACTGAAAGATCAAATGCTGACTTGCAATTGGTACCTTTTAGGAACAAAGAAGGTTTTTTTGGATTACAACAAGCAAAAGATACAATTGCCAAACGATCTCCAGTTGAGTGGTGGATTCAATTTGGTGATGGGACTCCAGAATTACAACGTTTTGCTGTGAAAGTTTTGGGCTTGACATGCTCTTCATCTGGCTGTGAAAGGAATTGGAGTACCTACAACCAAGTGCATACAAAGAGGAGAAATCGCTTGTCGACATTGAGGATGAACTCACTGGTGTACATTATGTATAATAGGAGACTCAGAGATAGAAATTTGAAGAAAAAAGGATTAATGGATGATGAAGATCCTTTGCTTTGTGATGATGTGGCATCTGATGATGAGTGGTTTGTAGATGATGAAGTTGAAGTGATGCCGTCTGAATTACAAGATGAAGATTTAAATGTTGATTTCTTTGATGGTCTTAAAGCATCTACATTCATCACAACTCAAGAACAAATCAAAAAAGGTATATAAATAATATAGTTTTCTTTTCTTAAACTTTTATTAATGTATTACACTATTAATCCTTATGATATTGTTCAAAAATTTCTACTATTTAGGGAAGAGGAAGATAACTAATAATGAGGAAGAAGAAGCTGATTGAGAGATATTGGACTCTATAGGAGAGGGGGAAGATGAGAGAGCAGCTCATCATAATGATGATTCAAATGAAGACCCCCTTAGTGATGACTGATGAGTGATGATAATGCTAATGACTAGTGAGTTCCTAACTTCTTATGTGATATGTTAATGTCATTGCTATTTATCTTGTGCATTTTTATGTTTTATATATTATTTACTCATTAGTATATACAAAATTTATTATTTTATGTTTACGCAATTTTTTGATTTTGAGGCTTACGCCTCAAATCGCCTTGAGGCTTACGCCTCGCCTCACGAATGAAAAACGCCTCAATACCCGAATACGCAATTTTAAACCTTGCTTGCAACAAATGAAATTCCAAGCACTATTTGTGCAAAATAAAGATCAAGTAATTAATGTGTAACACTCACATCAATAGTACCCTGCAAGGAGGGACAGTGACAAATGTAGCACACTAACAACCAAAAGTAACATGTAAATGAACACATTAAACCTATATGCAAAAGATATATGTGCAGTAGTTCCCACGAACATTGAAAGAGATACAAGCGAGCGTAGCAACTCGTCAACCAATAAGTGCAGGGAAATCAAAGATAAATGCATGTTACTAATGGTCAACAGTGGCATGCAGATGAACATGGTGGATATGCAATGATTGTAAAGATGTCCTTACAATCAATGACAATCAAACATCTAGCTAATGCATAGCCCTGCAAATGAGTACACAACCCTGCTTGCAATCAATAGCAACTAGCTGACAAACAAGTACCTTAACTTGTTCATGAGCAATAATAACAGATGTAACATACTATCCACCAGCAAATACATAAAGCTATAATAAATGCCAATGCCAACCAACAGCGATCATATTAGATATACTGTAGGGATGTTATGTCCTAAAGAGGAAGACTGTTGATGTATATCCTAATCGTGGAACCAAGCATGCAAAATTGAATGATTCTGTAGAGTCAAAGAATGAGCAGTTAAAAAAATATCTTATTCTATCTGAAAAAATGTCATATTATTTGAATAAAGGACAAATATTGAGGTTTCTGAATAAAGGACTATGGAAAAAACTTTCACATCCCATATGCATATCAGATATCAGAATGTTATTGGGATGCTGAAAACTACATGGTGTTTTGCCTTATTCATGCTTCGAAGAAATTACCTTATGACGAAACGGAGACAAAGAAGTATAATAGCACATTAGCCGAGCCTCTGGTCTAATCAGATTATGATACCTCATCTATCACAAAACGACCTCAAGCAACTTGGACATTCTTATCTAGTCTGAGCAAGGATTGGATGATTTGTGGATCTGATCTCTCGAAGGGCAAGAATATAGAGCTTACATCAGAACAATGAAGCATCTCATGGCTATTATGGATGAAGCCCTACGATTCACATGTAAGCAAAAGCAATGAATCAGTAGTAAAAATCGTAGGCTAATGAAGCGCAATGTCGAGCCACCGAATCTGCAACACTCTTACAAGTAGACAGAAAGCATTTACAAGCTTTTAAAATAAATGTTGCGCACATTCAAATGATAGTTGCCTGCACAATTAATTAGCGCCAAATGTTTTGAAATGCCCCTACACATGCATTGCGATAGGCATAATAATTCATGCAAATACGCCATCGGATCTGCAACACTTGTACAAGCAGACAAAATGCATCTACAAGCTTCTAAATATAACATTGTACACTTTCCAAAGATAATTGCATGCACAATTGATTAGTGTCAAATATTTTAAAAATTCCCTCCTCCTACATGCATTACAGCAGGTATAATAATTCATGCAAAACACCCCTCTCATGCATAAAAATACGCATTAATATGCATTCCATAGTATGCATATATTTGCAATATGCAGAGGGTTTCATTATAGCATGTCAGTTAACATCGCAATTACAATTCAAAATGATTGTTTGCATTTGTAGGATGCAAATATTTTCATTCAAATGTGTCATTTGACATTACAACTACATTTTAAAATGACCTCTTGCATGTATTGATAGGATGCAGAGGGTTTATTTAAGCATGTCATTTGGCATTACAATTACACTCCAAACTCCAAAGTATCCTCCCGTATGCATTTGTAATATACAGAGGACTTCATTCCAGTAATATCATGCATACATGTAACAATCAAATAAATGTATCGTGCAAAATGCACTCAACAACATATACCCACATGGATCCCTACGAACGTGTTATATGTACACACGTGACATCTGAGGATGTCATGTGGATTAAGAAATGAATTTAGATTCGAACCTGACCCTCTGTCGTTTAGTAGACAAAGTTAATAAGGTTTGATTAACAAAAAATGAAATAACTTATGAAAACCCAAATGATGATCGTGTTGAATTTTTATCTCAATCAGAGGGGACCCTATACTTTTCGATACTTTCAAGCTTCAACAAATTACAAATCTTTTAAAGTGACTACAACATTACCTCGATGATAGCCATATTGATAGAAAATCTCAACCAGAGGGGACCATAAACATTTTAAATACATCCCAAATGTCCCTAAAAATTTAAAATTCAAAAAATAATCACCCAAAATTAAGATATTTAAAATCGAATAAATCATCAAACATTTAAAACAAAAATAGTCATCCACCCTCCTTAACAGTTTATCGAGATGGACAATCTGAAAATTATTTCATCTCACAAAGAGCTAAATATCTAGTCGAGAATATCACCAAGATTCATTCTTAACTCATCTCCTACCAGTAAATACATGGCACATGTTCTCTAACACGTGATCTCGCCGCCAAATGGCACCACACTGATGGTTTCGCTGCTAAATGTCACCATAGTTAAACGGTTATGATCGGGGTATTGATTAAATGTCATGCATCGTGAAGGCCGCGGCGTGAATTTTCGGAGCCCACGCATCGTGAAGGATGATTCTTAAGCTTGGAAACAAATGCTTAAGGTATTGATTAAATGTCATGGATCTTTATGAGTAAATAATGCTTCCTATCATACTATAACTAAAAATGAAATGCATAGACTACTTTTGTTTGATCAATGATAATAAAACTGTACATCAATGATAATAAAGCTCTACATGTACATCTTACATCATACCACTTCTATGTTTTTACAACTAACTCCAAATCTTACTAATTGATATTTGCAACCTAATTTATTAACATTTAATGCTCACGAGAAGGTTAATATATATATTCATCTCTTTAAAAAAACTACAAAGCTAACAATAAAAGATTTATAATACCATGAAGACTGCGTTTCATCCAATTTTTTAGAAATTGGCAGTAATGAAAGCTTAACATAATATATGGAAGCAAAAGAAAGCAAGTTCAGGTCGAACAAATAAATGTCATTCCAGATGCTCAGTAGAAATTTATCACAAGAATGTTCAAAAATGCTAATTTTAGCCAACGGTATCGTGAAGGCAAGTAGATATCAATCATGAAAAAAAAATGAATTGAAATAATCAACATAAGGAAGAAGCTAGTGAGCATACATCAACTAATGTAACAAATCGATAAGCCGCTGACCGGTTTTGGATTGAAAATTTTGGCACGCCATCCAATGCCAACGTATGAAACTTTTCTGTCCAAGACAAATAAATAGAGCGCAACTTTAAGAATGCAAAAGAAATAAGGAAATGGTTAAGAGTTCAGTGAAAATCTAACTACTTACCAAAAAGCCCCAAGTAGTCAGCTGCTCCCAATGGTTTGTCACAAAGATCAACAAAAGGAAAATAAGCACATCCATTTGCTCCAAGTGGTACCTGCATGAAATAAGGAGAATCAATCCATGCTCTTCTTTAAGCACATAGAACAGAAAAAATATATTCCTTAGTTAAAATTCATTTGCACAGTTGGCACATCACAACCTGCAAGTGTCGTCCCATAACAACTTCCACAACTTGTGGGCGAGGAGTTTCCTTTCCAATCAAATTCAAAAATTTTTGCTTAAGGCGAGCAGAGTCATGCCCAATAAAATAGAAACCTTGCTCAGCCTGCACCATAAAACAATAAGAAATGATTATATTAAAGTTCCCAGATAAAAAATTTTAGAAAGAATTAGTCTCCTAAATAAAATGAGGATAATTACTGATGTTAACTTTCGGTAGTCAGTTGATGAACCAATTTCATGCGCTATACATCTTTCCTGAATGGGAAGTTTCAACAAATGTCTCAGCAGATACATTACTAAAATCAAACAAGAGATAGAAGTTCAAACTATGAAAAAATATTGAAAGCCACAATATAATATTACCTTGAGGGTATCAATGAATGGTAAGAAAAGATCCCTCTGTAAACCACCTTCATAAAGGTTATCAGGAGCACGATTTGATGTGGAAAGAAGAACCTTTAGAAGCAATAAATATCAAACATGAAAGAGAAAAATAGAAAATCAAAATGAAGCTAAAAGAATCACAAATAAGGTTAACAATTCAAAATATTAATGAAATAAACTAAGGAAGAAATGCGTACAAGGCCTTTAATAAAAAGATGCTTAAATAGTCGATTTAGTATTAATGCATCTGCAACATCTGTGACCTGCAGTTCAAGCATTTTTTTAGAATCAAACTTATAAGTGGAAGAAGATATGTGACTGGACAAAAAGTTTTATGGAACTTAGAACATACCACGATTCAACGTACCATGAATTCATCTAGACATAATAGAATGGACTCATCTGATATCTCTCCTGCAACAACTTCAAGTGGATCTGCTACCCCTTTATGCATCTTGAATAATTTGCAACATACATCAGAAAGAATTTAAATAAAATTGCCACATCAAAACAGAATGTACAAGAACATAAAGAAAAAAAGATCTTCTACGAAGCCATAATGAAGAAAAAAAAGTAAAAAACAATAAGATATATATATATCTAATTTCACCCATAAAAAGACTAAAATACATCCAACCCTTGAGCAGAGAATCATACCTGGAGGCGGCTGTGGACATCCAACATAAAATCATGAAAGTGTCTTCTCCGTTTCCTCCAATTAGAGGGTCTACAAAAGCACAATATGGTTTCAAAAGCATAATGCAAGAAAAAAACAAAATAGTAGCAAGAAATAGTATTGCAAAAATCATGTTTTGTATTTATGCTTTTATTTTGTATTAAACAATCTTTTACAAAGAAGAATGAATACAGAAATTTTTTTTATTATTACGTCCATTAAGCAATAAAAAAAACAAAATTCCAGATTTTTTTTTGTTCGAGTTCACTGGATATATGGAGTGTAATTTTAGTAGCAATAAACCTAATGAGGGGATTGCGACTTTGGGCAATAAAGTCATTAATGAGAGTACACGTTTTAGATATCTTGGATCTATTGTTCAGAGTGATGGTGAAATAGATGGGGATATTATCAGCAGAATTCAAGTTGGATAGTTGAAGTGGAGGAATGCATCGGGCTTGTTGTGTGATAGAAAAGCCCCCCTCAAATTTAAGGGAAAATTCTATAAGATGGTGGTGAGACCTGCAATCCTTTATGGTGCCAAATGTTTTCCATTAAAAGAGAAGCATAATACTAAGTTAAGTGTTGCAAAGATGAGGATGCTTAGGTGGATGAGTGGCTTTACTCTTAGAGATAGGATACGAAATGAGAATATATATGAAAAGGTTGGAGTAGCTCCAGTGGAAGATAAGATAAGAGAGAGTCGGCTTAGATGATTTGGTCACATTAAATGGAGGCCATCCGATGACCCAGTTAGGAAAGTTGAGGTATTAGATTTGACTTATGTTAAGAAAGGTAGAGATATACCTAAAAAGACTTGATTAGAAAATATTAGAAATTGTCTTTCTTTATTAGATTTAAATGAGAATTTGACTTTTAACAGGACACAATGGCCAAAAAGGTTTCATGTAGCCGACCCCATGTAGTAGGACAAAGGCTTGATGTTGTTGGAGTTCACTGGACAGTATGTACCTTTATCCATCTAAACAGGGTTACAAGTAAGAAAGCACCTTATAACATAGATTTTGGAAATGTCTTCACATATTTTGAGATACAATATAAACATATGAATTTAAAATCCATGAAATGAGTTACGAGGGATTGAAATCATCATCATTACCATAGCCTTATCCAACTATTTGGGATAGGTATTAAGAATTGTCATTTTCCATTCTTTTCTATAAGCCTTATATGAGGTGTTAAACTTATTCTTCTTACAACACACTAAGCAACTTCTACCCATATTACCTTTAAAAACTATGAAGTAAAAATTACATTGCTCGCTATCTCTTATTTGAGGACATGAGAATTTTGAAGTAACTAAAGGTTAAAATGTGTAGCAAAAATGTAATTTGTAAGTAAGCTATGTTGATCTTAAAACTTACAATTGATCATAAAACAAATCCATTAGCATCGTTTTTCCTGTTCCTACTCCCCCATAAAGGTATAGTCCTTTGACTGGTGAATAAGAAGATTGGGGAACAAGACGAGACCATAGCCACCGACTTCTGCAAAACAATGCTTTAAAATAAGTGGCGAAAATCTATGGAAAACAAAGTGACCAACAATCCTAGATCAATGGCATCTCATTATGAAACTATTGTCCTCCTCAACTAAATATTTCTCTAAAGACAATCTATTCTGCCTGGTCTTTGATCAGTTACCTTCCAGCTTTTTTAGATGCTTTATATCTATCTAAATGGCAGCTGTCTTCATGCTCAATAAGCTGGTCATACAGCCTTTGAAGTAGCCTAAGTGTGTCAACCTAAAAAAATTTTTTGCAAAAATACTTACCAAAAAGATTTTTAAGACATAAAATAGGGAATCTGTAAAAGAACAGGAGTGATTTGGCAATGATAATAACTTCATAAAAACTTTATAAACACCAACCTGAAAGGCATCTCCATCAACAAGTTCCCCTGAGGCTATTCTTCTTTCATATTCAATCAAAGGACCAGATTTTCCCACATCTGCTGAAGCTGTAGTTAACATTAATAAAAATTTTAAAACAAAAGGGATGGATCTCAAACTAATAGATTGATAAATCGGTTAGGCGCCACCGGTCTAGAATGAATAAATGGTTTGACATTAATAAAAAGAATAGCAGGTTCAGCATGGCAAAAGAGAACCATTTAGCTATAAAAAGATTTCTGCAAGTGGAACGCATGCAGTTGTGATTCATTGAGATAAATTCATAAATGAAAAGGATGCAGGTGAATTACTAAAGAGAGACATTTATAAGTAACAAAAAAAAAAAGTTCTAGATTCAAATTCAAACCTCCAGCAGAATCACTGGCCATAGAGATAGACAGAGACCGTGCCGTCTGGCAAAGATACCTATTGATCTCTTTTTCAGCAAATGGTCTGGATGAAGAACAAACAGCTTCTGCTCTCAAAGTTGAGACCTTTCGACTTCCATTTTGAAGACAAAGATGATCCCCTCGAATTCGAGAACAATACAGAACATGACGAAGAGCTCGAGTGGTTCCTCTCATCTTCAAATTTCACTTCAATATGAATAGGGAATTTCGACAATACGCACTTTTCGTGCCCCAAAAATTGAACCTATGACAGAACATAAAAATAATAAAAAATATAGCACCAACAAAGTTCATCAGAACTTTAATACTATCGCCACAAATTTATAAGAACAATAAGAAGATGGTCTCTCTCTCTCTCTCTCTCTCTCTCTCTCTTTAATCCTAAAACATGTCCTTTAAATTAGAAAATAAAATCAAATAGGATTTCGGGCATATTTGAAGATTCGTGAAAAGACAACTGATATTTTCAAGGAAACGTCAAAATATTAAATTCAGGATAGAAACTTTACACAGATCAAACTCAACACCGTGTTATGCAGGCAAAATGGGAATTCAAGCAAAAGGAATAAAAACAAAAAGAACCCGGAAGATCTCAAATCAACAGATTCATTAAAGATCAACAAATCACATGATTTTCATTTCGATAGCTTCACTTCCAATCTGAACACAGCTTAATGAAACGCGAGGGGTGAAGTAACAAATTGAACAAAAAAAAAAAAAACTACTATAAGAGCAGAAAAGGAAACAAGCTTACGATGATGGGGAGAATTCCGTTAAAACGACAACAACGAGGCAGAAGTACAAGGGCGAAAACCTAACCCTTCCCAACGAAGAACCCGAAAAAAAAAAATCTGGGAGCAAGGTTTGGGTACCAAGCGGATAGAGAGAGAGAGAGGAAGCCATTTAAACTGGTCTTCGGTTCTCGCTTGCTTCTTTAATTAGTTTACACCAAAACTTCTAAAATAAAAATAATAAATAAATAAATATTATAAAAATATATTGTTATTATAAATTTTAAAACAAAAAATAATTTTCACATCACTGCCATTAAATTAGATTATCTGTTTAAATATTAATAAAATAGCTTCAGATTATGAGATGAAGCTCATAAATGACTAAAAGGAGAGGATATTAGGAGGACTTCGGAAAAGGGATGAAGAATAATACAAGAGCTCAAATTATTTTAATTATTTAATAATTTAGTCTCGTAAAAATTAAACTTAAACTTTTTTAGTGAAATTACATATCTAATACTCAAATTATATTATTTACATATTTAACACATAAAACACATTATTTACTTAATATAATATTTTCTTAACTTTTTTTTTCTTGGTGGGGGTGATGAAGAGAAGAAGAAGTCACAATGGGATATCATTGGGAATGGAATCAATGTGACCAATGATGTGTGGAGGACGACTAAGAGGTGAGGAAGTTGTGATGATCTCATTGGAGAAGGGCATCCATTGATTGATAATGGTGCAAAAGATGAATAAGCAGTGGAGATGGGATTTCAGTGGGAGAGTGCGCTGATGGGACAAGCACCATGTGATGAAGAAGAGGAGGTTAGTGATGGAAAGTTAATAGAGAAAATGAGGGTGTTGCTTTTTTATGTTATTCACGTAATTGAGTGTGCTCAATTACGTGAATGAATAGTACATTTTTATGTTAAATTTGTAAATAAGATAGTTTTGAGCGGTATCCATGTAAACCATACAATATTCTATATAGACTAAAAGCTCTTAATTCACAGATAAACTATTTTGAAAATTTTAAAGATTTACTTCATTACAAATCATGAGACATTTAAAATTATCTAAATGGGAAGAATCGAATGATCATGATTATCATGCATAATAGGATGAAAGATTTTTTTTCTCTGAATAGTTGATAAAAATGGAAGATGATGACCCTAATAATGGTGGAGGCAGAATTATCTCTTATGTAGAGTTGCAATCAACATATCATTATAATTTCATGAAACTATGTGGGTGCAATTTATATGACTAGTAAGGATCTTAAAAGTTATGTCAAGGTCTTCAGTTCAATCATTGGTTGAGCCATATTAATACCTATTTTATGGATTTTGAATGTATTCGTTTAAGAAACATACTTAATCCTTGTGTCTTGCGGCTTCGACGAGAGATGTGTCACCTACTAGACGGAGTTCTAGCCAGTTTGGGAATCCCAAGCGCGCTTCTTTGGCCATAAATCGTTTCGTGCCGGGTCAGGTCAACCCGGAAACCTGACGGGTTGGGTTCTAGTTGAATTTAATGACCCGTTTGCAAATATGGGTCGGGTTTGGGTCGTATCAAATAGCGTCGAGTCCGTTTTGGATTCAACCTGAACCTGACATGCAACCCGATTTTGACACCCCTAGTTAATAATATGTAAACCCTTAAGGTGGCTGGATAGGAAAAAAATCCACATTTTGAAAATTGGACCGGACCGATCGGTCTGACCGGTTCAACCGTGAACTTGTCTAAAGGCCGGTCCGAATCAGCCTTAAGAACTGGGTGTGCAACAACCCAGCCACAACCGCTTGAACAGCCGGTTCAACCGGGAACCGGCGAATTGGTCCCGGATTTCTAAAACTGGCAGGTCCAAAATTTTTTTAAATAATTAAATAAATTATTTAATATTAAATAAATGATAAACTTAATCATTAATATAAATATTATAGATTAAAACTCTTAAATAAATATTAAAGAATATGGTTATATAATTACTTAGAACATTCTCACATGACTTCACAACGCTCCATATGAGCTCCTGTTATGTGCAAAAGCAAAAAGGTATATAAACTATGTAAAACAAATCATCACAAGTGATATATTAAAGTATATGGTTATTATATTTCATTATTATATTAATTTTATTAATTTTTTTTAATAATATTATTATTTATTACGTCATTCGGTTCAACCCCGGTTTGATCGTGAACCTCTCCTTCTTCCGGTTCGTTGTCCGGTCCGATTTTCACAACTTTGAAAATAATTCAAAAAGTTTTAAGAAGTGAAGTAAAAAAAGGTCTAATTTTGCTTATGTATGCAAGAGAAGGGAAAGAAGGTAATTTTTATTATGTACATGTTATATTTCTAAAAAACTTTCATTAATGCTTTTAAATTTTATTGAGCACAAAAATGTTAACAAACACACAATTATGGGGAAGAAAAAGTTCTCTGAATTTTTGTAGAAGAAATAATTGGATGATGAAAAATAAAGTTAAAATAACTAGCAAAATTTTTCAAAATCTCAAAATTTTTAGAAGAATTGAGCATCATATATTATTGCATGATAAAACTTTATGCAATTGAGAGAAATTATCTTCTTAGCTTTTTAAGAAATTTTAACTCATAAATTAAAAGATGTTTTAAAAGATATCATAATTTATATGTGAAAAACTCAAAATAGGAAAAGAATTATGGGTCTTGGTCTAGTGAAATGATTCCAATGATATATATCACTCTGCTTATAAATGATATTCTTCATCTTAATTCGGAAGGCGTTGATATAATTTAGCAACATAAACCTTAAAGGATGGATTCCATGGTGAAGTTAGAGGAGCTTTTGAGATATCAAAGCTATTTTCAAGTGATTATTTGTGAAATATTTGGTCATTCTCTTTTGAAAATAGAAGACTAAAGACTAATAAGTTTAGTATAAATCCTAATTTTGACATCAAGAGTTAAAGATGGTTTCAATCGAGTGCATCGATCATGTATAGGTGATGCCGTGCAATGACATTATAAATGATGGTAGTGAACGAGACTAGTAGTATCAATATTGGTGTTTATGATGTGCATCAACATTTTGGATGATGAAATGCATCAATGTTGCTAATAACGACAAGTTACGCGAGTTTGATCAGCATCATTAGTAGTGTCAAAAACATGCTATGTCATGCGTCGATTTTGTCAGTGATAACAAAAATGACTTTTTATGTAATGATAATCGAGAGACCATAATCAAGGGACAAAGGTTGGATGGTGGTGATAGAGTGACATATGTTGGCTGATGAAAATCAAAAGATGATGATCTAATAATGATGATTGAATAAAAATGATCAGCAGTTGCAAATGATAATCATCAAAATTAAGCATTATGTGAAGGTTAGAGTTTTTTAGATCTTCATGTCCTTCCAATTCCAAGTCAATATCCAAGCTCTCCAAGCTCCATTTCAAATGAAGAATGGTGAATCTATTCATAATTTTTTAAGATGTCGTTTTGATAATTTTTGCAAATATTTCAATACACTCAATTGAACAACCAATATTGCTTCCTTAAATTACAGATTATTCTTTTAGCATTTAAGTACCTTAATGATATAAAAAAGAGAGTAATCTTAGGCTTGCTAAATTTCTTTCACTGAGACGCTCATTCGAGTATAAGCAGTTAAGATTTAGTGATCGTTTGATATTTTGATTAATATCATGAAGTTTTAAACAATACTTAAAAGTTAAGTGTTTGATTTGAGCTAATTTGGACTTCGATCATGACATTTTTTATGTGGTTAGTATGTCACATCAAAATATTGCATCGAGATTGATAAATTTTATGATTATATATTATTTGCCTTATATTTTCAATTATCAAAATATTTATCATCCAAGAATGATAAAATTTATTAAAAATTAATAATTAATATATTTAAATTCAACTCGACAATGAAAGAATAAAATATCCAAATCACAAAGAATCTCTCTCTGTCCGCCCAAAATCTCCATTTGACGCACAGCTCGCCGACTACCATCCAATAACAGTGGATCGTGGGGTCCACCGGATAGAAATAATTCAGCAAAAGCGGGGCCCAAGGCCCGACAGATTCTTCCCGTTATCGGAAGAACGCCGAGGAGGCGCACCGATGCCGCTGATATTGTATATAGGCAGAATCTCTCTCTGTCCGCCAAAAATCCAGCTCGCCGACTACCATCCAATAACAGTGGATCGTGGGGTCCACCGGATAGAAATAATTCAGCAAAAGCGGGGCCCAAGGCCCGACAGATTCTTCCCGTTATCGGAAGAACGCCGAGGAGGCGCACCGATGCCGCTGATATTGTATATAGGCAAAATATTCCCCTAAAAAAAATTTCTTCTCCCAAAAACAGACAACATCGTTGTTATTAATAAATTAATTAAATTACGATATTAACATTTATTTTATGGAGTTTTTACGCATCAAATACTTAAAATTGCTCAATTTATTTAATTAATACTCAAACTTCACTATTTATTATTCTACCATCTAAAAACTGTTGCTTTCATCAAAACTAACTCCCCGTCATCTCCTGTCAAACCCAAACCCCGACCTTGTCTTTCCGAAACATCTGCTTGCCTTCATCACCTCTTCTTCACTCGGTCGGCTCATCAATTTGTTCGTCTATGTATGTTCTTATCCATTTCACTATCTCATTTTCCTATTCGTCAACCCCATCTCGCTCGGAGCTGATTTTGGCCTCCCCTCCCCAATAGATCGCCTAGTTTTTTTATTTGTTATTTGAGGCATATATTGTACTATGAATTATTAGTATTTTTTAAAAGCTTTTTGTTAATTTTTTATGTATAGCAAATTGTTTGTAATTAGTCAGAATATATTAGATAATACAAATTCAAAAATTAAAATAACAATGTAATATAGTTTTTATACATATTATTTCTATTTGATTATATATAACATAAATGGCTAACTCATAAATTATAATATATTGATTAATAGAAACTCAATTGATGTTTTTCTGTTTCATCTTATTAATTAGTCTTGATACTATATATGATATTATGAATTAAAAAACAATATTAAATATATAATATTTTTTTTTAATAAATGCATGGTATATTATCTTATAAATAGTTTATTTATTTTTGGTACTATTTATAAATTTATTATTATTAATGTTGAAAGCCCAAAAAAAAAAACTAAATGAATTAAAGTATTATATCATTTAATTAGAATTTAATAATATTTTTAATTAATTATTCTTATTTGACATGATGTGATATTCCTTCCTCACACTTAAGGTTTGTAAAATAATTAATTTTATTGCTTTAATTTTGTTATTATTTAACTTTTTTTATTGAACAATTCTTTCTAATTCATAAAAAAATGTGATATCTCAACTTGATATGTTCAAACAAAATAATAATAATAATAATAATAATAATACATTTAGAATTACTATCTCACCTAAATGAAAAATATGATATATCACCTATGATAAAGTTGTAATATGCAAAGAATTAAATTTGATTTAGAAGGTGAATGGGAGTTCAATTAAATATTTTATTTTTTATATTACTATTTCTCCTTATTATTCTAAAGAATTATAAATTATAATGAGAAAATATTAAAATATGTAATATATAATTTAAAAAATCAAGCCTAAATATTTATAAAATGATATCAATTGAATGGAATATAAAGCATATGATCACATATTTAAATGGAACATAAGAGTAAGGAAGCCTAAATATAACTCTTGAAATAAATTTAAATGTAATAAAAATAATTAACATTTAATTAAAAGAATGAATAACTTAAGAACATACTAGCTAGGAGAGATAAAATTACTAAAAAAAAAATTTAAATAAACAACTAAAAAAATAAACAATGACAAAAAAAAAAACATTTGTAGTAAAATTTATGCTTGAATAGCTTTATTTATTGTTTAAAAATGATCGCACGAGCATACATAGATTCCATAGAGATTTCTATATATAATAAATTTATAAATAAAGGGTTATATAAATTATTCAATGGTCACTATTCAAAATAAATTTTATTTTTTAAAAGGAGTTTAAAGTAATGATCTTCCCATTCGAACTTGATATTTATCATTTCAATAAATATAAAAATGTAATTAAATTCTAATTAAATATTATAGATATTATTTTATCTATAAACTCTAATTAGTGCTATTGCTAAAAATCATGCCCATATTACTTTACTTTTTAATAAAAATCCCATTTTGATAAATATTTACTTGTTAATACAATTTCCATTTTCATAAATATAATCAGGAGTTCATGTAAAAGAAGATATTATGAGAGAAATAATTTAGTAATGTTATTGAACAATCACAAAGTGGAGAAATCTTCAGTACGTAGTAGAGGGTTGAATTAAGAAATTACTTCTCAATGGGCTAGAGATACAATTTACATTATGACTCGCTTATGAATATAATTCTTTTTATTTAGATGTAGCATTGGCATTCTTGAGACACTAACATAGGATGTATCAAACAGTGATCGATCAAAGAGGTGGAACCTACGCTCTACTTGATTTTATATAGTACTTGATTCTACTTTATTTTTAATTCTTAGATAATAAAGTGTACGTCATGATTATTCAGCAAATCTATATTGAGGATCACAAATAAGTTATCTCAAATTTTTGTAAAAGCAACGAAGCATATCGGCGGTGAAAAATCCCAGCTTTCTCATTCCTCTCTCCTCCTTCCTTCCCTTATATTCTTTCCTTCCACGACAAGTCACAGCTGAGTGAGGGGACACTACAAGAAAATCGTCAAATGACCGCCGATAAATAACGAGTTTCCTGTAGTGTGAGGGAGTAAGGGAATGAAGCATATGCCATTTTAATATATTTGAAAACTCATTTCAGTGCATAGCGCTACGACATCCAAGGAAGCCAGTGTCGTTGCGTTGCATGCTGAATCCACTATTATTGTACAGCAAAACCTTCAATGCCATGAAGATCATTCCTCATGCCGTTGCGCTTCAATTCAGACAAAATTGTATTTTATTTTAATAATTACTAGGTTGTTATACAGAAAAAACTTAATTTTTGTAAAAATTTTAATACATTATATAAACACACACACACACACCCAAATTTTAGAAAGATGTGTTGATATCAAATTAGCCCTATTATATGGATCTCGCCTAGTCTTAGTCAGCAAAATTAAAAGAACTAACAACAATATTATCATCAAGCCTTCATCCCACCACATGAGATCAGCTATATGAATCATTTTTCTCCATTTTTTTATTTAGAGTAAAATTTTCATTTAAATTTAATAAAAAAGTTAATTTATATTACTTTTTAATCAAATATTTATATGTCTATGTCACACTCAAGGATAGATATTAGAATAATTACATATTCTTTCATTTTAATCATTTAACTAGATCTTAAAAATAAACAATGAAAAGAAATATGATTACATTTTTGTTATCCGGAGCTTCATATCATATAATTTTTATAATTTCCTAAAATGTGTAAAATCACGTAATGAGCACATAGCCCAGAAATTAACTAAAATCTTATAACTGAAATCAATGCAAAATAAAAGATAATAATATACTATAAATCATATAAAGAAATATATGCATTAATGTATATACTGATTATCTATATCAATTTATCCTTCTATAATATATCACATCTTAATCCATTATATTATCAGTCACAGTAGCAATAATAGTCAACAATACTAACCAATAACATTAAATAATGATAATGACATAAAATAGTATTAATGCTTGCCACAATATCAATACAATATTTGTAGTACTGTCAGCATCAATATTTAGATATTAATAAATATATCTTAAGGATATCTTGCTCCTGCACTTATGACTCTCAATTAGTCTCTCATTATAGCTCATAATTAATGTACTCTTTATAACTCCTCTTGAATCATGTGAATCAGTCACCCTAACTCCTTATAACACCCAATAAATCTCTATCACCTTATCATGACTCTAATTAATGAATCACATGAATTAGTAGGGTATCACGTAGAGTTATTATATCATGTATTTGATATCATTCAATACTTCATTTAAAATATAATAAAATCATATCAAATCATTTAGAGTAATCAAATTTATGATATATCTAAACTTGCATAGTAAAAGCTTATAAAATCAGAAGCTATTATATTTTTTACATATTTAGGAGAGATAAAATCTGTAGAAATAAAACTCATTGAAAACTAAAGTAAGAGCTTAATCTACCAATATTATCCCCATCTACTTCACCATCACTTTGGATAATAGATCTGAGATATCTAAAATATGTACCTTTTTAATAACTTAATCACCTAAAATCATAATCCCCCACTATATCTATTACTACTAAAATTATAAAGCATATATTTGATTTTAGATCCACTCAAACAAAAACTTTCAGACTCTAAGGTTGAACTCTATAGTTTGCCTTCAACTCCTCTTTAGTCTTATAAACAAGAAATATACCATTAGCAAAAAACATACACTAGAGTATATCATATTACAAATGTCTAGTAGGAACATCCATGACTAAAGTAAAAAGATATGGGCTTAAAATTGATCCCTGATTTAATCTAAATGAAATTAAAAAATATTCGGTCAATCCACAATGTGTTTGAACACAAGCAATAGCTCTTGCATACATATCATTAATGATTTGAATATATGCATTATTAACTTCTTTCTTTTCTAGAACTCTCTAGATCACTTATGTTGGAGCTTTATCATATGTTTTCTCTAAATCAATATATATATATATATATATATATCATATATAAATCCTCCTTATTCTCTCTATATTTATCCATCAAACTTCCAATAAATGTACAATTTTCATAGTAGACTTACCTGGCATGAACCCAAATTGATTTTGAGAAACATTGGCATCACGTCGCAACCTACACTGCATAACTTGCTCCCATAGTTTTAAAGTATGACGCATCAACTTAATTCCTCTATAATTTGCACATCTTGTGCATCATTCTTAATCCAATTTACTTAAATTTTTCCTTAATTCTTCTATCTCTTTTTGCTTGGCTAGCTTATACATTTCACTCTCCTTAGTTCCTAATATATTATATAAATTATTAAAAGTTCAAATTTTTACATCGCATATTATCTTCTTAAACTCCTCTCATGTGACATGCCTCTTTATATATTTCCAAAATTTTCAAGTTTTTACATCTAAACTAATTTTTATAGCAAATCTATTATTTTTATCTTTTTAGCACATTTTGATTCCAATAACTATTTTTACTATTATAAGTTTTTTCCTTATGTTCCGCCAAGTACATACGTTTCAACTTTCTTAATGTCACAAACTATTTTTTCTTACGTAATGTTAGCTTCCTCCTGATCAAAGAAAATCTTTAATTTTGAATTTTGCTCTCAATAATATTTTTATTAGCATTCTTTAAATGTCTCATCTAATCATATGATAGTATTTTATTTTATTTTTCATATTATGCTCCTTTTTAAAGTCAAAAATTAATAAGCAATGTTTGATATATATATATATATAAACTTATTCAAAATAATTTATAATCTAAATGATCTATATTTTCTTATAAAAAATTAATTAATTTAAAATTTATTATACCCATTCTTATAAGTGATGGATGTTATCACTTTTTTTTAAATAAGATATTAATAGTATCATAGAATTCAAGCCGATCAGACCATCGCTTTGCATCATACTCATATTTTTTTCTATTTAAAAATTGAAATAATTTAAAAATCTAATCGAAAAAGGAACTCTTTTTTGGGTGATAAAAAAACTTTTTTTGGGTGAAAATTTTTTTTGTTTCAACTTCGTATTTGTACAAAGATTTAATGAACAGGCAAACAATTCATGCTGCATCCTCGGCATTTTTGCCCGATTTGGTTCCTTCTCCTCCACCTCTGAACCGTCGTAAGCCTAGCTGCCAAGCGGTCTTCCCCTCGCATCCTCATGAATGCATTTCTTTTCTTCCAAGAAGGAGATAATGCGGTTCAGCAACAACCTGATCGGGTTGCTCAATGCCATTGTCTTCCTGCTCTCTCAATCTCTATCTTTGGAGCTGGAATTTGGCTTAAAACCGGCTCAAGCACCGATTTTGAGAAGCTCTTGGATCTGCCTGTAATAGTTATTGGCGTCTACCTCATGATTGTGTCCCTCGCCGGCCTTTTCAGCGGTCGGTGCCTGGTCTCTCGCCTCATCTATGAGGGCATCGGCGAGGTCGTTTCTCGCCGCGAGTACAAGTAGTGTCTACACGGATAATTCTCTAAGTAGCTTCAGAAATAGGTCAGCGACGATATTAATTGGGCCAGGATCCGCAGATAACCACAAGAACCATACACTCAGGGGCTGTTTGGTATGCGGATTTAGCCGGATTTAAGGCCAGATTTGGGCGAAATCCAGCCAAACGGCCTAAAATGCAAATCCAAATCTCACCGAAAATGGAATCCACGGTTGACGGAAAAAGAGCACTTCTTGCGGTAAATCCCGGATTTCGCAAATCCACGGAGAAGAAGCGGATTTAACTGATTATTCGTGGGAGAGGAAGAAGGCAGAACAAAGCCCAAACGATTCCAACTGTTTTTTTTATCTCTTGACTCACTCTTCTTCAGAACAGCTCACACACCATGATCGCCCATACTCCCTCGTCTCTACCTCTCGCTATTATAAGCCAACTGTTCGGTTGCTTGCATTCGCACATCCAGCACAAGCAGTCCCTAGAGGAAACCATAGGCGTGAATCAGCAGTAGGTATGATTCCTTAATCTCATATCTAATTTTTTGGTAGCATATCCACGGTTTAGGCTAATAGTTGTCCGAAATTTCTCCCTATTTGCATGTAGTCCGTTTTTACCTGTTTCATGATTATGGACAGCTGTTCGCACAGGCCTATATTGTTTGTGTTGTGAAATTTCATTTGCTAGAATGATGTGATAGTACGACATTGTTTTAGTAACATGACACCTGAAGAAGATGTGGATAGTAGTGAAACTTATCCAGAAACAAATTGTAAACAATCATCTTTACTTCATGATCATATTAGTTTTGTACTAAATAAATCTAATTGGTTGACAACGAATGACAACGAATCCTCAAACATGAATTACCTAGCTTCCACTCGAAATAAAAGCAGTAAAATTTACTTCCCAAATGGTAATCATGCTCATTAGAAATAGTTGTTAAATAGTCTCTATGGATACCATTAAAATGTATTATTTGAAATTTGTACAACAAAAATGAAATGTTTTTTGAAAGGCAAAGCGGCTCAACGGTCATCGACCAATACTTAAGTGGACATTATGGATGATTTAGATGTGAAGTTGGGAAATATTAATAAAAATATTTTGAGGACACCTAGATGGCCATATCAGTATAATGAAGTCTTCGGAGAGTTGTTGTTTGAGCATTATTTGTGTGGTAATATTAATGATGGCATACTGCGGAGGGACATGTGGAAGGATTTGGTCGGTATACTAAATCGTCGAGTTGATGAAAACTACACTGAAAACATTGTACTTATTTTTTCCATTTGATTTACGAAACCTGCTTTGATGAATGTACCTGTACTATGAAAGTTTATGACCGTGCATATATAGTTTAAGCTCTACTTGATGAAATCTACTTTGACCGTGCATACAGTTGCAGGCATATATTGGTTTACCTTATGGCCATTTCTCTACTTAGTCATACAAAAAACATTTTAGTTCAAGAGAAATTGGCAATTTTTCTATGTGGTATAGCACATGCATATAGTTACAGACAGTTGTGTGAGTTCTTTTAGCATTCTCTTGAAACAGTTAGTCGGTATTTTAATTTGGTATTGCGTGCCATAGTTTCTTTAGCTACTGAATTCATAACGATGCCAAGTGCGGAAACAAAATGCCACCCTTATGTACATTTGAATCAAAATTTTTATTTATTATTCGAGAATGCTGTTGGAGCTATTGATGGGACTCACATTCCTGTAGTTGTTAACAAAAACTTGCAAAATCGATATCGTAACAGGAAGGGATTCACTTCTCAGAATGTCATTACTGCAGTATCATTTGATAGACAATTCATCTATGTGGGTTCCGGTTGGGAAGGATCAACTGCTGATATGAGAGTTTTACGATGGGCAATCGAGGAAGGTGATTTTAAAGTTCCAACTAATAAATATTTTATGGTTGATTCTGGGTATGCAAACACAGATAAACTAATTGCACCATTCAGAGGGTATCGGTATCACTTGGCTGAATACTGTACAGATGCTTCTCGAAGATACTATGTTGCATAGGAGCTATATAATTATCTTCATTTCCAACTATGAAATGTAGTTGAGAAGACATTTGGCATATGGAAAAAAAGGTTTCAAGTTTTGACTCACATGCGTCAATTTTCACTTGCGGTTCAGGCTGATATTATTTTTGCATTGTTGACCTCGATTTTGCCCAGACCCGAGCCCAAAGAGTTAACTTGGTCAAATTGACCAAGCTAGACCCTATGGCCCTCCCCACTGGGTTCAGTGGGTCGAGTCGAGTCTGTCGAGCCCGAGCTTGGACCCGGGGTCAACCCGGTTGACCAAGTCAACTAACTTTATCGGGCGTTATCACGGCCATGATATTTACTTCAACATGTCACAAATTGAAATGTATCATGACAGTGACTTGGGGGAGGTTCAAGCTATTTATGAAGACCCGAATTTGTATGCAGGTGTTGGAGAAAGAATACTAGGTGATGGTTTAAGACATTTAATTGCAACAAATATGTGGGATGCTCGGGTAAGTCTCTGGCATTAAACTTATATTCTTTAGAATATTCAAAATTTAAACTTCTAACAAACAACTCCATTTACAGGTAGCAAGCCAGCGAAGTCGTTCAGCTGAATAACCTGCAATTTTGAAAACATTGAAGATGGAATCAACTTTATTTTATTTGCAATTTACTTTATGTTATTGTTGTATTTCAAATGAAACTTTGTTGTATTTTATTTGAACTTTGCTTGTTCTACTTTAATTATTGAAGAAATGAATGTTATAAACGCCTTAAATCCTAAATTGAACAGCCAAACAGTCACACAGGGTTTAACTGGAGTCATGAATGTTAACAAATAGTTTTCAGGATTTAACCCCCCAGGATTTCGTAAATCCGAATTTGGAGGATTTACGAAATCCCACTTAAATGAAATTCTAGATTCTACCAAACAGCCCCTCAGTGAGTTCTTCAACAAAAACCCTCTCACCTCTTCAGGCATAATGCGATTCCTGTTTTCTTTCTCTTCCCATTACCAAAGAAAGCTACCATTTATTTTCTTTTTGGTTCTAAGATAATATTTGCTTTCTTTTTTACTCTCCTCTTCTTGATTTTCATTTATTTTGCGAGCTTTGAAGGGAATTGTGGTTTAGGAATTTGTTTTTTGGTTGAGAATATTAATATCTAAAATTTTCCGCCATGACAACTATCAAATCTTATTAAATTCTAATAATTTATTTGACTTTTTTTTAGTTTAATATAAGATTTAAAGGAATTTGGAATTTAAAGGGGCTATTTGGTAACACCTAGGATTTCATTGAAGTAAGATTTCATAAATCCTCTAAATTCAGATTTACGAAATCCTGTGTGTGTGGGGGGGGGGGGGGGGGGTAGGGGGTTTTAAATCCTAAAAATTGTTTGATAACATTCATGATAAATCCAGTTAAATCATGTGTGACTATTTGGCTATTCAATTCAAGATTAAGGTGGTTAAGAGATTTGACATGTATTTCTTCGATAATTAAATTACAATAATCGAAGTTTAAATAAAATAAAAAAAAGTTTTGTTTGAAATACAACAATAACATAGACTGAATTCCAAATAAATTAAAGTTGATTACATCTTCAATGTGTTCAAAATTGCAGGTTATCCAGTTGAACGACTTCGTTGTTTTGCTACATGTGGAGTTGCTCATTAAAAGTTGAAAATTTTGAAAAATATAAGATTCTAAGCTTACTACCCGAGAGCTTTACTCAGGCCTCCCACATATTTGTTGCAATTAAATGTCTTAAAAAATCACCCAGTACTCTTTCTCCAGCATCTACATTCAAATTTGGGTCTGAATAACTAATGGAAATTGATATATATAAGTCACAATTTGGAACCTTTCTTTTCATATGCCGAAAATCCTCTCAACTACATTTTGTAGTTGGGCATGACAATGGTTATATAGCTCTTGTGCAATCGATTGTCTTCGAAAAGCATCAATACAGTATTCACTCAAGTGATAATGATACCCTCTATATGGTGCAATTAGTTTATCTGTGTTTGCATATCCAGAATCAACCAGAAAATATTTACTAGCAAGAACTTTAAAATCACGTTCCTCCACTGCCCATCGTAAGACTCTCATATCAGCTGCAGATCTTTCCCAACCGGATCCCACATTGATAAATTGTCTGTCAAATGATACAACAGCAATGAAGTTTTGAGAAGTGAACCCCTTCCTGTTATGATACCGATTATGTAAGTTTCTGTTAACTACTAGAACAGTCCCATCTATAACTCTACTGCATTCTCATAAATGGAGGATAGGAACGTACAAAAGGGTGACATTTTTCTTTTGCACTTGGCATTGTAATAATATCATTATATAATAATATTATGGCATATAAGATCATATTAAAATACATATTAACAGTTTCAAGAGAATATTGAAAGAATTCACACAACTGTTTGTAAATATGTACATGTTCTATACCCCATAGAAAAATAGTTAAGTAATCCTGCACTAAAATATTTTTCGTATCATGAAGTAGAGAACGACTTTCTAACAACTCCCTTAATTGATGAAATACATATGATGAAATTTTAAAAAAGTTATAAGTACGTAATGGATGCCCAAAAGGCAGATCAATTACATATTGTTCACCGGTATAACCTCTGTTGAACATCGGTCTTAGTATGTTCATCTTGTTGTCTGACGAGGTACTGCTACTTAAAAGATTTGACGTAATATTTCTAATATCATTACTCAAGCGCACATGCTCATCTATCAGTTCACATAGCTCCTTCAGAAAAACTCAATGCAGGAAATGAGCCATTTTGTGCTACAATTTATAATTTATTAAGTTCAGTAAACTTAAACTTACTAATTAAGCTGAAATAAATCTTAACTTAAAAATCAAACAGCAATATTTCTCTACTAAATTTTGATCAATCACATTCTCATGCAAATAAATTCAAGCAAAATAAATGGCTACATGCTCATTTAATGAGAAATACATTATAAGAAAATTAATGACTCAAGCTAACTAACAGACACTTGAATGCTTAAACAGAAAAGTAACCTCTTGAACTGACACCCTATGACACATAAATTTGGCAGCTAAGCTGAGCATTCAGAAAATTTAGGGTGGCAATGAAGAATATATTCAATCAATCCACGCAATCGTGTTCCATCCAAAGTAATAAGAGCGATCTTATAGTCGTTACTATCTATCAATGCTTCATGAATATCTATTATAGCTTTCATCGAAATGTTCTCTATGCTACCAAGTTTTGCAAGACATTCTATTATTGTGTATGGACAAATTTTATCAATCTTCTCAATTATTTTATCGGTTTTACCATAATGCTTGTCTAGTATGCTACTTAACTTTTCTTTCAGCTCTTCTCTTAAGGTGCTTATTTTTGCAAACATCATCGTCACTTGACCGCTTGTTATGTCTCATCGGAATAAATGAGAGTTCTTTCGTGATTTCTCACTTAAGAACTTACTTGGTTTGTAAATCAGAGGCTAAATCAGTCTATACGAAACTAATTTCATTACCGGACAAGAACACATCCTCCTCTACATCTTCTCCTATTACCCCATCTTGTATTATATTATTTATTTTTTGTGATGACCTTGCTAATGTTACCACAACAATATTATCGCTACATATTTTCTAAAAAAATATTATATTGGTGGAATAAATTACGAAAAAATTTTGCCAGCTTTGGGTTATCCTAGTCAAAAAATAGAAAAAATTAAAAGGCTCTCTTAAGAAATATATTTAAGGCTTATAAATGAATCATCAAATTTTATTGAATAATATATACCTGGATTATCTCATCCCATATCTCGTCAGTGGCTATGGGCAAATAAAGAGTTTCATCCTAATCTCATCCACTTCGATGAGATTGTTGGAAAACAATATGAAAATTGGTTTTTATTTTTTTGAACTTAATTTGTGCAGTGCTTTCTGCGTAGTTTCTATTAAGTTGGTGATTTAATGTACAAACCAAATCCTTCTACATGTCTCTCCTCAATATGCCATCATTAATATTACTACACAAATATTATTCCAACAATAACTCTCTGAAGACTTCATTATGCTGATCTGGCCACTTAGGTGTCCTCAAAATACTTTTATTAGTATTTTCTAACTTCACATCTAAATCATCCAGATTCCACTTAAATACTGGCCGATAACTATTGCGCCGCTTCGCCTTTCAAAAAACGTTTTATTATTGTTGTACAAATTTCAAAGAATATATTTTAATAGTATTTATGGAGGTCATTTAACATTGATAATTACAATTTCTAATGTGCATAATTACCATTTTGGAAGTGAATTTTACCGCATTTGTTCCGAGTAGAAACTATGTAATTCATGTTTGAGGATTTGTTGTCTTTCGTTGTCAATTGAATCGATTTTTCTAGTATAAAACTAATATGATCAGGGAATTAGGATGATTGTTTACAGTTTGTTTTTGGGTAAGTTCCACTACTAGCCATATTTTCTTTAAGTGTTATGTTAATAACACAATGTCGAACTACTACACCACTCTAGCAAAGGAAATATCACACCATAGAAATATAATAGTCTTTTGGTGAAGAGGAGCAACTGCAGCAGGTGAGATTCATGAATTGGAGTCAAAACTAGACAATATGCGAATCTGAGGAAATACTAGACGAAAAAATATATAAACCGTAGATAACCTAGCATAAATATCAGGAATGTGAGAGTTACATATGCACTGTCGATATTCTTCATGCCACTGATTTCCTCTTGAGACTATACGATTGCAAGAAGCCGAACAATATGCCTTATAATAGCGAGAGGTGGAGATGAGGGAGTATGGGCGACCATGACATATGACCTATTTTGAAGAGGAGCAGGTGACGAGATAAGGAAAACAACTGGAAATGATCGGATTTCCTCCTCTTGAGCCAATAGAGTGTTAAATCCGCCGAATCAGAGGATTTGGAAATTTTGGGATTTACCACGAAAGGGGTATTTTTCTATCTACCACGACTTTCATTCACCGTGAGATTTGGTTTTGCATTTTAGGCCATTTGGTTCGATTTCCCCCAAATCTAGCCTAAATCCAGCTACCAAACAACTCCAAAACATCTTATGCATGAGATTGCAAATCCCTTAAATATGTTGAATTCTGCTCCCCGTGATTAAACAAATCCCATCAAATCTCAAAACATGGTCAAACAGAGGATTCAGGCGCCATTATTTTCTCAGTTTTTTGCTTTTCACTATTAGCTTCTTTGATGCAAACTCTTACTAGTGTTATGTCCTTGCTAGAGATATATTTTTTAATTTATTTGAACTTTTATGTGACCACTTCCCTTCTCTTCTTTGATGTATTGTTATTAGGAGACATTGAATAGGCTTTTGATTCATATTTAAAGTTTGTCAATTTTTGGCACTTTATCAAAAGGGTCTTTCTGAATCTAAGAGAGTATTCTAGGAGTTTTTATATGGACAAGTGATGGATGTTCTTCCCTTTCTTAAATCTTTTTGTTTCTTTATTGTCGCCTGGTCAATTTTTGAATTTCTGATCTGGTTTTCATTACCTTGTTATTGTCCTGATGTTCTTCCATTCAAAAAATCGATTTCAATGTCATAGTTAGGTTGATACGGTCTCCAGCAATGGTAAAACCTGTATAATACAAATTTGTGGCTTCACCATCGTCTTCTATGATGGTGAATTTTATATTATCCCACTTCAGGAGTCTTGGTTTTCACATCTTGCTCTTGAATGTTTCCCTTTAGGGATTTGAAAATGTTTCATGAGCCCAACCAAATAATTACATCCATTAGGTGTCTGCCAGTACTTGCCTCCATGATTTGTAAGGAACGAGGTATTTTTGAGTTTTAACCAAAAGGGAGCCAATGGTCTTGGGGACCATTACAAACTATATATCCCAATGCTTTAGTTAGCACTTAAGAATCTTAAGATAAATGTGTAATTAAGGCTTAGTTTGGGGTGGCTTTCGTAATACTTTCTAAAACAATTTTTTAGTCTAAAAAGCTGCTTTAGAAAATAGTAAAAAAGTTGTTCCAAACGAAGCCTAAATTTATAGAAAAGTAAAAAGTGAAAAATGACATGTTAGAAGTAGCACTTATAACAAAGTAAGGTAGTAAATAAAATTAAATTTAGGTAGTTTGTGCTTGATAATGGAGGGTAAAAGATGCATCAAAAGGATAGGTAGAAAATTAATGTGAAAAAAGTAATAGAAAGGTTAGATAAAAAAAACAATATAAACTTAGACTAGCAGCTCATGCTAGGCTAAACAAAATGTCTGAACAAGGAATATTCACAAAGTTGATCAAATAATAGTTAGGAATAATGAAAGCTTGAGCTACTTTTATATGTTTAAATTCCTTCAAGTTACTCACTTTTCCATCTTATCAAAATTCAATTTTCATCATTAATTTCATAAAAATATGTTCAATAATTGGCTTGTTTTTCTTAACCATTTTCGTGGTTGTGTACAATTTACATTCAAATTGAATTATTTCTGCGTAACTTCCAAATGCTGCGTATTTATGCAATGAAATAGCTTTTTGTTTCATCTTTAAAAAGTGGCGTATCTATTCATGAAGTTTTTCCTACAGTTAGGGTGGAGTGATTGGTGTATGTAGCCTTGTTCTTGTATTTGCAAGGAAACATATCCAAGACTTGAGAGGTAACTGCATGGGCGGATGTAGTGTGGGGGCACTGCGGGCACGTGCCCCCACTAGCCCACCGAGTTAGTTAAGTTTTGGTGATACTGCATCTAATTGATTTCATTTATTTATGCATTAATTAGAGAATAAATCAAATAGAATTTTTTACTTTTTTTTTTCATCCTAATATGCGATCTCTATCCGGCTATCCCGCTCCCAAAGTTATGCGATTCTCTAAGCACGCGGAAGCGGAACCGAAGTGACAAAGTCCAAACGCCCTCGTCACGCAAGCTGCCTCACTCTAGTGGCTCTCTTCTTGCTCGAACCGTCGAACGCCGAATGCCGAACGTCGGACAGTCGCCGGTCACGCCCAATTGCCATCGTGGTGCGGGACTGTCGCGGGTTGGCTTGGCCAGTTGTTCTCTTCCAATTTTCGAGCCAAAAAGCTGCCTAGCCCAGTCGCCGTTGGCCCGTCGCCCTCCCCTTCCAACGCCGTGGCCTCATGGCCAGATAATCTCTGATTCTTTGCTAGTAAGCCTCACGACCTTAGCATGGTATAGTGGTATTCAAGCATTGTTTTTGAGTTAAAATCTTTTATGATTTAGTTCGGTTGATTTAACTCGTGATGTCTATGATTTAACTCGCACCAGTGTTCAAGCTTCGACTGCATCATATATGCTCTGTTGAAACTTTAGAGGCATGTTGTTAAAAAACTTTAAACAGTAGAAACTTTAGAAGCCTAAAAGTACGTTGCAGAAGCATCAAGCATGTTGTGAAAAATCTTTTTAAACATTAGTAACTGTACTTTGTAGAAAAATTACTTTGGTATATGATTTTTACATGTTAAATAGTAGAATTGTATAAGCATGTTTATTAAAATCTATTTAAATTTGTTTTTCATTTTAAATAGTAGAAACATTATTTAGTGCTAATTGCTAAATCTATTTAAAATATTTTTTTGAAACCCTAATTTTTAAATTTAAGGCATGAAGTTTGTTATGAAAAATAGTATGATGTGCAAGTATATATATTACATGATCTACATAAATATATACATCTGTATTCATTCCCAAAAACTCATATATATTACTTAGGATCTACATAATCATATCACAACTATTTTGTCCCAAGTATCATGTCAGCAATCAAATAATAACAGTAGCAATTATATGATCACGAATCAATGAAAAAATAGTAAAACACACATGCAGTAGCAGTAAAGTCTGTAACCACTAAAGCAATGCAGTATGGAAGCCAATAAAGTAGTACAATGGAGAAATTAGTAAAATAATACGGGTGTCAAATCACTAAAGCCATCGTCGTTTCAATCCTATCAGTCAGTAGATAAATCATATAAAATCATACAACCAAAGCATTGGTAAAGACTGTCGAAATCATATCAATGTAATAAGATCATATAGGAGTGTATACATATTATTCATGTATCCTATATCAGTATCTAATTAGTATATTACGTGTTCAGTATCAATACAGTGAACCTATAATATCCAATAATATTAGTATCCATATCGATAACAATAACAGTCTGTTGGGGAAGATAAGGAGTAAACACCACAAATGACGAAACAAGTAAGAAATTAAAAGCAGCGGGGCTTGAAAATTGGAAGTTTAAAGGGTTTATTGACCTGCACATGGGCTTGAAAATTGGAGGAGAACGCCATTATTTTCCTATCGAGAAGCATTGCTTGGCGTTGATTTTTGCAGTTCAGAAACTTCGCCACTACATGTTGTCTCACAAAATCATGTTGATTTCAAAGATCAATCCGCTGAAGATCTTGATAACAAGTCCTGCGTTGACAGGTCATCTAACTAGGTGGGTAGTACTATTACTGCAGTTTGATTTCACATACATGTCACAAAAGTCGCTGAAAGGGCATGCCTTGGCAGATTTTCTCATCGTGCATCCTATCCCGGCAGACTCCCCGCTTAATGATGATCCGTCCGATGAACAAATCATGCAGGTCGAGGAGAACGAAAAACTACCATTCTAGAAGATGTACTTAGACGGGGCATCATCGATTAAATCTACTCGACCTCCAAATATTGTAAGAGCTCGAGCCGGCATCACTCTTGTTCTCATATCGCCTGAATGAGGCATAATGAGATTTTCATTTAGTTTGACTGAACCTCGGACCAACAATGAAGCCGAATATGAAGCTTTAATAGTAGGGTTGGAGATTGCGATAGACGTCAAAATTCGAAATCTTAAAATCTTCGGTGACTCTCAACTTGTGATAAATCAAGTCTTGGGCATTTGCAAGATTTGTAAGGTTGAGTTCACTCATTACCACCGGCGGGCCTTTGAGCTTCTGAAGTAGGTGCCAAATATTAAAATAGTTCAAGTTTCACGAGGTAGAACGCCAAAGCAGATTGCTTAACCAAATTGGCCGAGGAGATGATAAACACCAACGAGGAGAAGCCTATATTCATCGGAGTTTATAACCATCGGATCTTGGAGCCCGCTCTGTTACAATTCCCGAAGGCAGAAGGAATTCCAGATTCAAATCAGCAAGATGAAACCCGAGTTGACCCTCAACCTCTCCATCAGATCATTTTGAAAAATTATCCAGAAGGATATCATGTAACCAAGAGGCGTAAAGCTAGTCAAGCTTCGGAATCGTAGTGACATTGCTTAGACATTGAGGAAGGAGATGACTGGAGACGACCATTCATCAACTATTTCAAAAAAAGCAATCTCCCAATGGATAAATCTCTAGCTGCAAAAATCCGAAAAAGAGCATTGCGATATGCATTTGTCAATGATACATTGTATTGTAAGGTGCCTAGGGACCAAGGAAGCTGATAGAATAGTAGTAGAAGACCATGAAGGACTTAGTGGCGCACATTAGTGAGGTCCCAAAATGGTCGTCAAAATCAAGAGAATGTGTTACTATTAGCCAACACTGGTAAGAGATTGTATTGACCACGCCAATAGATGTCATGAGTGTCAGATCCACGGTGATGTTATACATCAGCCTCCAAATTCATTGCACCTAACAGTAGCATTCTGGCCATTTGAATGCTGGGGCATAGATATAATCAGGCTAATGGATCTGCCGTCATTAGCAGGACATCACTTTATTCTGATAGCAACAGACTACTCAAAGTGGGCAAAAGCAGCTCCATTCAAAGAATTCACATTCGAGCATATGATAAATTTCTTTATCTACAATGATGTCTATAGATTTGGTGTGCCACGCCGCATAATCTAAGACAACAGTACTGTATTCAAGAGTACAAAAATTTATAAGTTCGTTGATCGGCATAAAATCGATTGGTAGTATTTGCTCATATATAATCCAAGAACAAATGGCATGGCAGAGGCCTTCAACAAAACGTTGGTGAAATTGTTGAAGAAAATCCTAACCAAAAATAAAAGAGAGTGACATACGAAAATATTAGAAGCGTCATGGGCATACCGTATAATCTACAAGATTCCAATCAAAGCCACTCCTTATTCACTAGTGTTCGGAGTTGAGGCCGTATTACCTTTAGAAGTTGAGTTACCGTCACTCCGGGTAACAATCCAGAACGATCTCACTCAAGAGAAAAATGCTAGCATGAGGATGGAAGAGCTCGATGCACTCGATGAAGTTAGCTTGCAAGCTTAACAAAATCTAGAAATCTACCGAGGAAGAATGACAAAATCCTTTGATTATATGGTGCGCTCTCGGCATTTCAAGAAGGGGAATTGGTCTTGGTGCTGAGAAGACCAATCATCACACACCGAAAAATCGGTGGCAAGTTCACATCCAATTGGGAAGACCCCTTCGTTATCGAGGTGTACCAGGGAGGAGCTTATCAACTCATCGATCTGAATGGTCAGAGTCTATGCCGCCAATCAACGGTCGATACCTAAAGAAGAATCATGCATAAAGTTGCCAAGAAAAATGCTATGTTTAATGTGTTATGTATTTTATACATATTTACAAACGTATACATTTGCATTTTGAAATTCTATTATGTAGCAAGAATGCATTTCAAAATCCTCCATCTGATTGGGGGCATTCTAAATATTTATTCGGGTCAACATAGCGCTGAGTGTCGAGATACCCAAATAAATATTTAAAATCCAAAAAATCCAAATTTATTTTGCTTGAGAATGTCTCTGTGAGACATGGGGCATTTTACATATTTATTTGGGTCGACATCGGGCTGCATGCCGAGATCCCCAAATAAATATTTAAAATTATCAACACAAATATTTTCTTATGTTAAAGAATACAATAAATTCTTTTCAAAGTATATACATGTGATCTTACAAATTTGAATCCACTTTAGCTAACAGAGGGCTTGAAATTGAAAGTTTGAAGGGTTGGAAGATTTGACATTTAAAATATACATTTTACCATCTTACACTTAAAGCGGATGGTGGGGGAATGGATGATAGACCCGATCAAGATCCCATGGTTTCGTCGTCCCGGGCCATCGTGGTCCCTGGTCTACTTAGTCAGAGGAGGTAATCGACCCAACCTGACAGAAGGATCCTTGTCGGCAGCCATGGGTTGCTTCGTCCCAGGGGACCTTGTAGACTTGGGATGGATATTTGCCTAATGGGACAAATTTGAATCCAACTTAGCTAATGGGACCCCTCCGAATTCCAGCATGCAAGAGGCAAATCGTGGATTTTTACCCTGATAGGAACAGATGAGAAATTTTCCCTTTTCAGTTTAAATTTAGGATGCCACTTTTGCATGATAAACAGCTTGCCAAGGATAAACTAGACTCCTTTGGACCATACCATATTTAGATCCTCCGAACATGCAAACCGAAACAAGAAAAAACCGTCACTAAGTGATAACATATGCAGTGAACCTTTTAGATTCCACGTTTTCTTAATGGCGCCAAGCAAAGCTTCGTAGTATGGCCTACGACCAATGGAATACCCGACCAAGTAATGACTCCAATCTTCTTAGTCAACTTGTCACCAGTAAAAGGAATGATTTCAGGATCTTGTGGGAAATGAGAAAGATGAAGATCATCCTGCGAGGAGTCTTCGGTCGCAAAAATAGCTTTCCAGTTGCACTGTGGCCGGGGAGAAACTCCACCCGCAGAAGATAACGGGGGAAAATCAGAGAGGGGAAGAAAAGAATCCATGAATGGAAAGAAGGAAGAGGGCCTCCGACAGAGCCGAAGGGAGAGTAGAGGCAGGCGGCGCAAACCAGCTAGAGCGGAGAAAGAGCAAACCCTAGCAGAGCTCCCTCAACTTTTATGTCACAATTCAACTACCGTGTTGAAGATCTTGCGGCTAAGGACAGCTGGAACTTTATTTTTTTGCTATATTTTCTAAAATGTACTATTGGGAAATTTCGATATGTGGACACATATATTTATACATAAAAATAAAATATTATACATTAGAAGCTATCTAAAATTGAGCCAAGTAAATTTTTTATCTATTAATTATTATTTGACTTATGTGGGATCACAATTAAATTTATATATAATTAATTATTGTGTAGAGGTCGAGTATTTATTTTAATTTTAATCATGGGCTAAAATAAAATAAATACATTTAAAATATAAAAGGGTCTTGATCCCCAATTTAAGTGGTGTAGTTCTTATTTTCCCTGATTTCCCATCTTGAGTGAAAAGAAGGGGTCTCTCGCTCCTTTGAAGAACGCCGCTTCAAACGTGGAAGACCGAAAAGATTGATTCTAAATTTCAATGGATTCATTTAGGAAAGAAGTTGGTTGTGTTACTACAGTCGTTGAGTTAATGTTGCTTACAGCTGTTGTTGAGCATAATAAATATTCCGTATGCCCAAGTTTTTTTGAATTTCTTCTAACATGCAGCAAGCATACAAAGGATCTCATACAAATTTTCATGGATTTGTAATGCAATAGACATGTTTTGAAATATCTTCTAAACCTATAACTTATTTTACAGTCTCATTCTTTTTATTTACATAATAGAAATTGACCTCTTTTGGATTCTTACAACTCTGGATGCTGAAGGCCTCCCACTGCGTGCAACTTCGCCTTTACAAGTGAAACAATGTGGACCAAACCTTATGGTTTCTCTAAGGTTTAGTTTGGGACGGCTTTTTTACTGCTTCCAAAAGCAATTTTTTAGTACAAAAATTTAAATTTTTTACTAAAAAGCTGTTTTAAAAGTAACAAAAAAAATCGTCCCAAATGAAGCCCAACTCCTCAATCATAAGAGATTGCAAAGCCTGGCAGAATGATCCATCCGTTTTGTGCTCTGATTGCTAGTATTGCATGGCTGGTGTCCTTGCTAACCTCAAAATCAACTGGAAGAAGGTGGCAATGATAAACATAATCTCCTTCATTTTCCTTATGATTGTCTACTCTTTTTGGTAGGCCTACTTGCCCAAGCAAGAAGTTACCCGTGCCAATCGGCGACTTCGCCGAGCAATTCGCCATTTTTGACGACCACTTGACGACTTCAACCATCAAGATGGCGACTCCAATTAGTGATTGTCAACGAGTATTTTTATACTTTCTTGGTTTCATATTTTTTTGGGCTTCATGCCTCATTTAGCTAGATATATTTTCTTATTCCTTGTATAGATTTTTCCCATAACAACAAATCCCTTGCCTAGAACTTGTAATAACATCTTAAAGCTTTTCACTTTTGACTCTCTTTTTCTTTATGTCTCTGTACTTTTTATTTTGTCTTTTGAGTCTTATAAGTAAAATTCTAGTGTTGCTCGCAAATATATATGGATTCAGCATTCTCTAAGATAAGGTAAGTGTTGATTAGTGCCAATAACTAGAAATAAAGTATTGCAAGTATTGGTGCAATAAAATAGAGATTAAGGCTTTGTTTGGGACGGCTTTTTTACTGTTTTGTAAAACGGAGTTTTAGTACAAATTTTTTTATTTTTGTACTAAAACTCCATTTTAGAAAGCAGTAAAAAAGCCGTCCCAAACAAAGCCTAAGGTTTTGTTTGGGACTACTTTCTTACTACTTCTTAAAGCAGTTTTTTGTACTAAAAAGTTGCTTTAAGAAGCATTAAAAAAGCCGTCTCAAACGAAACCTAAATATACATGAACAATCTAGACTTTGTCATAACATATAACTAGTCTAACGAATTCAACAATATTTGGAGAACTTGTCTTTGGAATTTATCAAGCGTTCAACTCATCTAAAGTTTGAAGTCGTCCAAATGAGAGCAAAATTCGTTCAAAAATTGAGGTTGTCAAAGAGAATTCAATTTGATAAAAAAGTTGGATAGAAAAACTTAAGAATCAATTTTTAAGCTTCAAGTCGGCTAACTACAAATTAGAGATGACACATTAATGATTCTAAGTTTATGGCTTCAATTGAGATGACTTTCTTACCGCTTCTTAAAGCAGCTTTCTGGTAAAAGAATTAAAATTTTTATAGTAAAAAATTGCTTTAAGAAGTAATAAGAAAGCCGTATCAAACAAAGCCTATGCTTCATTATAAATAAGACATATCTAATGAACTTGAATAAGTAAAAACATGCATGAATTTCATGAAATATTTCTACTTAATTTTTAGATATTTTGCAACTGATTCTAAACAAAAAACTTTATTTATTAGTATTCAACTTGAATTCAAGTAAATTCAAATTTTTGAACTCAAACAAACTTTAAGCATTTTGCCCAAATCTTTTTGTAAACTTTTGATACAAAGTCCGGCCATAGAACGCAGATTAATTCCGCCTTGTGACAAGATTTACATTAACTATAAAGAATAATCTTATTCGAGCGACGTCGACTCTAGATGGTCTCTCTCACAATGATAAAAAGTCGGGTGAAATGTGATGCCCATCCTAGCCATCAAATGAGAAGCTAGTTAGACATTCTTTATTTAGCTTATTTTTAAACATTTTTTACTTGGTGTATTTTTGGATATTAATTAAGATAAATTAGCTTTATTATATCAATCCTCTTATTCTTTTTGCAAGATTATTTTAAAAAATACAAGATTATTGGAGAGATAAATGTATGCCTAAGTATCTTAGGATTCAGTTCAAAATTAAGTAAGTTTGACTAAAAATAAACTCGACAGAATGAAAATAATGAATAAAATAAGTGAACCCAAGACTCATGATCTTGCTAAAGTCTTTGCTGCATAAGGCTCCACTAGGCATAATCACCTAAGCTAGAAGTTACTGGCCTCCACTAAACTCCAATTAGCAACTTCATCCAACTTATTCTTTGTAAAACTTTTCTTGTTGTGCTAGAGCCCTTACTCAAAGCAATAAATAGGGCATTAATGTGAGATTTTGACACAAGTTATTTGTACTCAAAGTTGCCCTTTTTTACAATCTAATAAAATTCTAGAACTTTTAATTCTAGCCTCTCTCTCTCTCCATATCATTTTCTCTCTCTATTATTTATTTAGTGTGCTAATGAGTCTAATAATTAAGGTTCCAGTGTTACTTGCAGATAAATTTAAATTCAATAATGTCCATGGTTCATATAATTTTCTCTAGTTGATTTGTTGTATTTTTATTTTTTTGCTTTAATTCATAAACCGTTCTTTACATGCCTACACGCTCCATAAAGATCTAAGAATGTATATCACTGTAGGAAAATAGGTCATTACCGTTTGATTTTCTGGCAACTAGATGTACGCCGGAAAATGGGGTGCCCAAACCAGCGAAAATTTCACCGGTTATTTAACTACGGAATTTTTGGCGGAATATCTGCAGTTGTATAACCGGCCGCATTTCCGTTGGATTTGCGCCGGAATTTAAAACATTTCCGACGTAAATTGCGTTGGTTATTACTGGCAGAATTACAGGTGAACTTTGCGCCGGCTTACTTAAACTCGGAGACTATTTACCTACGTATTATCTGCCGGTGAGATAACCGACGGATAATCCGCCAGAAAATCCTATGGATAGAGCCATATTTCGACCTAGTCGCGGTCTTCCTTCTCATTAATTTCCTCTTCTTGCCTCGCTTAGGTCGCATCCGAGAGTCCGAGAGCTACCGCGAATGCGAGAACCTCACCGCCGCCGACTTGCATCGTTCGCCGCCATCGATTGCCTCTACTCGTCGCCTCTCATTTTTTTCTTCTTCCCTCGGTTAGGTCGCATCCGAGAGCTGCTCCGAATGTGAGACCTCGCCGTATTTCACCGCCAAACTTGTGCCGCCGTCGATTGCCTCTGCTCGCCACCTCCGGTAAGAGAAGGTAGATGCCTCATTATCTTTGTATTCTTTTTTGCATTTGTTATGGATGTTCTCACCAGACATTTGCAAGAGAAGGAATTTGGTGTATGCTATTATTTTGGGTTATGGATGTTCTCACTAGATATTTGCAAGAGAATGAACCTTGGTGTATGCTTTTTCTTTTGTTATCGATGTTCTCACTAGACAATTGTAGGAGAATGTATCTTGATAAAATAAATAGGATATTATTTGTAGAATTCAAGTTGGATGGTGGAAGTAGAGGAATACATTGGGCGTTGTTGTGTGATAGAAAAGTCCCTCTCAAACTAAGCATAATTTTAAGTTAATTGTTATAGATATGAAGATGCTCTTGTGGATGACTAGTAGATTTACTTTTATAGACATGATACAAAAATATCATATATGTGAGAAGGTTGGAGTAGCTCTAGTGGAAGATAAGATTAGAGAGAGTCACTTTGGAATGTTTGGTCACATAAAACGATGGACTTTCGATCACTCTAAGACTTTTTTTATATTCCCTAAACGGAGACCTTTCGATCACTATAAGAGTCGCTTTGTATGCCATCTATTTTCCTTCAAAAAATTGTTAAAATATTATCTAATATATCCTTATTTTATGTAGATTATATTATGGATATCCGAACTTAAAGAAGTTGGATGTATAATCGATTGGTGCAAGGACAAAAGATATTAACATATGAGTTCATTAGAGGGCTAAACTTTTTCATTCAGGCAGCTTCTCAACTGCCCAACTTCATTTAAAATGTTGTGTTTCGTTGCCCATATTCTAAGCATAAAAATCAGGTGCACCTAAGCCTAGATGACGTAATTGTTGATCTATACTGTCAAGACTTCATGCCAGAATATTGGTAATGGACTTCTCATGATGAGTATGAATCACATTTCGATTCTCGATGTGGCCCATCGATAAGTGCTAATATAACTAAGGAAGAAAATATCTAACTCGATCTTAAGGATTTAATTCATGATGCAACTAGAGCACAATTTGAACAATACATAGAAGAGTCACCTAATAAGTAAGCACAACATTTTTATGATTTGTTACATATTTCCCAACAACCAATATGGAAGGGGTGCACCACTTACTCAGAGTTATTCATTGTTGTTAAGATATTAAGCATCAAGGCAGAATATAATATTCGCTGTGAATGTTTTAATCAATTCATTGGACTTCTTAAAGAAACCAATCTGACAGGTAACATAATTCTTATAGATTTATATTGGACTAAGAAGTTGGTTTCCAAGCTTGATTTGACATACACAAAGATATATTGCTGTGTCAATGGATACATGTTATTCTATAAAGATGATCAATCAGAGCTTGCATGCCGTTACTGTAATGTACCAAGATTTAAACTAAAATATATCACAAAGAGAAAGATGAAGGAAGTACCAGCCATTAGGTTATTTTACTTACCCATAGTTCCTAGATTACAATGGTTATATGCATCCATGAGATCTGTTGCACATATGAGATATCATAAAGAACATATCTCACAAGAAGATTTTATTACACATCCGTTAGAGACAAATGCCTGGAAATACTTTGATCATACACATTCCACCTTCACCTCAAAATCAAGAAATGTAATATTAGATTTATGCATAGATGGTTTTACTCCATTTATCCAGTCTGCTTCACCTTACTCATGTTGGCCCGTGATACTCACACCATATAATCTTTCCCCAGAGTTGTGCATGACAACTCCTTATATATTTCTAATGCTTATCATTCTAGGGCCCCATAATACAAAATCAATAATCGATGTATTCTTACAATTGTTAATTGATGATTTAAATTTATTATGGGTAGATAACCAACCCATGTTGAATTGTATAGTCATACCCACAAGCAGCAGGAGGACCAGTAATGGGTTGATGAGCATGCGAGGAGAGCCTATGTAAGTATATAAGTTTAAGTTTTTTGATATTATATAGAAATTGCTTAAATTTTAATTAAATTTGATAGGAGGGGTATACATAGCTTCGAGAGAGCCAGGCTGTAGCAGATGAAGGTTCTTCTGGTGGAGAATATTCTGACTACCGCATTTGGTCGCAAGTGGTAGGAGGAATGTAGTGCGACAGAGTATACAGTTTAGGCTCGCAAGCTTATACAAATGAGGGACAGACATCTGCTGGCTTCAGTTTCTCAACAAATATCCAGTAGGCTTTATATGCCCAACATATAGATACCCTTATAACCGAGCTAGAGCAGGTAAGGAAAGAATAAGATGACTGGCAGATGCAAATGTAGCAGCAACGGATTTAGATGCAACATCAGATGGAGATGCAATAACAGATGCAGATGCAGCAAGTTCAAAACTTAAAATGTAAAATATGAGGGAGTAGATGAGTGAGCAGAGTACAACATCCGCATAGGAGGAGACTGAATCAGAGGAGATATGATATTATTTATTTTAATTATGTTTGCATTTGTTATGGATGTTCTCACCAGACATTT